GGATCTCCCCAAAACCCACAATTTCACATCGGCAAACACTGTCTTCATCCACTTGACTCCCAAGACCCGCCCACACGTGGCCAACCTTTTTCGTTTTTAATGCTTTTTCACTGCAGGTTCATGTGTTGAGACCAACCTTATATGGACTGATCAGTCTGGTAATGGCTTATTTCCCCCTAACACCCAGCAGTAGCGCAATATCCATGAGCTAGATATACCACTTCAGTCACTTTGGCATTCTTCCTGGACTTACTAGAACTGATTTTTCCGCTACTTTTTTCCCCAAGCAACGGTTACCGACCGAGCCTCATGCGTCGACTTCAGTTTACTTCGCGCTGAAACGGCACTAATCCTGCATGCATTAAATCATCGGTGTTTTTGTGTTTTTAAACAGAGGATTGTCAAACTGGTGCAGCAACTTGACTGCATCAAATGCTCCAGAACATGTCGTTGACCAACACAAAGACGGGCTTTTCAGTAAAGGACATTTTGGACCTCCCTGATACTAACGATGAAGAAGGATCTATCACCGGCACCGAGGAAGATACGGAGGGTTCTGAGGCGACTAAAACGCCTGGAGTGTTAGTGCAAAGTCCTTTAGAGAATGTTCAAAACCTGCCTTTAAAGAATCCATTTTATGATAATAGCGACAATCCTTATACTAGATGGCTCGCAACCACGGACAGCATCCAATACTCATGTAAGTATACCCTACCCAACAATAATTCACTTTAGTTGAATTTCTTTTTTGTAGGTATTATATATATATATATATATATATATATATATAGTATAACTGAAATCATTCAATCAAATCTTTGCATTTGATAGTGTAGTATGCGTGCGTCTTCACTGTTGCGCTTGTCTAAGGCGTAACCGGTTATGTGCAATCACTTAAAATTAGTTATAGACGTTGCTTTTTTTTTAATAATTGCTCCTGAAATTGTCTAGATAGTTTCATAAAGTTTTACTGAGCAGCATTTTTGCTTACGTCTTCTTGTTTGTTAATCAATAACTGTTGAATCGGCTAGGCTACGGCAATAGTCTTTTCATTACACGCCCTATTACAATAAACGGACCTAAAAGGATGGGGGGGGGGGGGGACATATTATTTGCCAGTGGATCTGTAATAACAGAGTACGTGAGTGCAAGCATTAATCTGTCTGGCATAACTTAATTTTTGTTTGCTAAATATTTGTTTGAACTTTGTTTCGTTTAAAATGAGTACAAAGAAATGCTCACTGTGGCATTAATGGTCTTCTCTCTGTTTATTCATTTTTTTCTTCTTTTATCTTTTTATTTCTATCTTCTTCTTTTTCCTTTTTTTCCCTTTGTTTTACCAGTACACGGCCTGTCCGCGAACTCTCAAGACACGTCCGCAAAATCTCCGGAACCTTCAGCTGATGAATCGCCGGACAATGACAAGGAAACTTCAAGCAACGGCAGCGACTCTGGTAAGAAGCGCAAAAGGAGGGTGCTCTTTTCCAAGGCACAAACTTACGAACTCGAGCGCCGGTTTAGGCAACAGAGATATCTGTCAGCCCCGGAGAGGGAGCATCTCGCCAGTTTGATTCGCCTGACTCCAACCCAAGTGAAAATCTGGTTCCAGAACCACCGATATAAAATGAAGAGAGCCCGGGCGGAGAAAGGTATGGAAGTGACCCATCTCCCTTCTCCTAGGCGGGTGGCCGTGCCAGTGTTAGTCAGAGACGGCAAACCTTGCCATACGCTAAAAGCTCAGGACTTGGCAGCTACTTTTCAGGCTGGAATTCCGTTCTCTGCGTATAGCGCCCAGTCTCTCCAGCACATGCAATATAACGCGCATTACAGCGCCGCCACTACACCACAGTTCCCAACAGCACATCACTTGGTGCAAACGCAACAGTGGACTTGGTGAACAAATACTGACTTGCAATGCAGGGTTGCATTTTAAAGACCGTGGTAGGGAGCTTTCCAAACAAAAAATACAAGACTTTTTATTTTTGCAGCTTGACCCTTTCTCACCAATTTATTTTGGGGATTGACGTGTGCGCCATGTTTACATGTTTTCGTTTAGAAAACCGGGTCAAGCCTCTCCCCAAATTTAAGAATGTTAAAGCTCTTGTGAAATTTTGTAAAGTATGTTTGTGTGTTGTAGAAATGTTTTTCTTTTGTCCTTCGTGTTATACGCACGTGCAAAACCACTTTATGATTATAGAAAATTTTATTTCTTTCTTTTACAATGGACCGAATATATTTATGGCCATGAATAAACACTGGCAATCCTTAGCTTATTTCATTGGTTTGTTTTATATGTAAATATTTTGTGATAACTGTTTGCAATATTATGTTTGACCGTCCAGTAAGCTATATCCTAAATATATGCCATATTTAGGGAAGATGGAACATCATTGTCGACAATATCCCTTCTGTTAATTTCAGCAGGTAACAACGCGCGCTGGCGAGGGAAGTCTACAGTTCTTTTTATTAAAACTTTTAATAAAATTATGTGTTTCAGAAATTCCGTTTTGTTTTGCGTTTGGTCTCAATGATATCGGACTAATTTCCAAAATATGAATAGCCAAGTTTCTTCGTAGTTCCTCGTTATCATATATTTTTCTAAAAGAACAAATAAACATAAGTTGTATAATTAGGCAAATTTATAAAGCCTTTATGTTTGGGCAAATATTGCTTTTGGCTGCTTGTCGCTGTCCTTCTCACTTCATCAGCAAGACAATTGGCTTCAGTTTTCCGAATTTATCTGTACGAACACTTCACAAAATAAGAAGGCTAAAGTCACTTGCGAAATGGGGGAAAATCCACTCACTTAATATAAGAGGGCTTCTTCAGCTAAGCAGCTTTTCATTCAAACGCTCTCTCCTTTTCAGGCTACGCGGCTGACATTTCGTCAGTTAAAACGGCACATCTCAAAGAAAAAGAAAAAAAAAACACGTGAAATCGATTTGCTATTGATTTTAACTTAAACCAAAATTATATTTATGAACATATCTATCTTATGTATGAATGCCGAATAAATAAGGTGCGAATCAACATGTGTAGGCTGCAAAAATGTGTTTGATGTAATTACTACATTGCGATTATAAGTAAAAAACATTTATTTACCCATTTTGATCTCCGCAAAGAAAGAGAAAAAAAAAATCTAAATTATTCGTGGTATTTATTGATTCTGTTTTCAAAATAAATAATAGATCTCACTGGTTTCTTTCCCAATCAGGATTATCATAAATATCTTTGCCTTGGTTAAATACTTCGATTCAGATTAATTATTTAGTTTTAAAATACTTACAGCAGATGTGAGACCAAATCCGATTTTGTTTAACCATTACCGCTGGACGGGGACACCGTGCTTAATATTTAGATTCATAAGCAACTTGGTCTTTTTCTCGTGTTCTTATATTCTACAGTTGGTCAATGAAAAAAGTAGTAAAGTGTTGTTGTTTTTTCCATTTTTCCCTAAACCATTTTATCAAATGGTTTTATAAAATGGTTTTGTATAATTGGTCTTCTAATTTATATTATAGCAGAACCGTTATTGTTTGGTAATGTGAGGCACCTGTTTAAACGACTCTGAAATTAATATAATAAAATTGTAATACCGAACGTTTGGTGAACAGGATATTTCAGATAATATTTTAAATACCAGTCAGAAAACATTTTAAAACCTATTTACAACTGTATTACTCTTTGCGATTAACTTTCAGCTTGCGATTGTGAAGCTATACACTGCGCTAGGAAAAAGAAAATAATACTCCATGGCCACAGCAAGTTGGACTGATGATCAACAATGTGGCAGAGCGCTTTTGAGGAGTCTATAGTTCTACAATATACAGTACATGACACAAAACTAACAAAGCACAGGGTCGGTTGTTGTGAATGTCAGAGGCGTGCATATTAACAAAGGGAGTGAATCTCCGGGTGGAGAGAGTCCGGTTTTCTTGGTGTAATTCAGGTTCTTTATCTGGACCAGTGCATCCATGAGTGAGGGAGATACATCCTTTTTTTTTTTTTTTTTTTTTTTTTTTTGCGCCTGTCAGTTGGTGCCATTGTGGTGCTTGTTGTACACGTCCTATTCCATATGGGCAGCTGGGCCGCAAGAGGAGAAAGGAATCCCTCACAAAACCCAAATTGTGTCCCACTTTCAAATGCAGCATTGTTGTCTCTCAAAGAAAAACGAATTAAAAATTCGTCCTATATCTATTCTGGAAAAGAAGGCAAACCCATTCACAGATAACAGGGAGTCCTTCTTCCTTGATATAGCAGTGCTAACAACAGTTCTCTCTCATTCCTTTAACCCTCTCACACACTCCTCCTTTTCTTGACGCTGAAAGGGAATTATTATTGTCTGCTTTGCAAAGACTGTAGGGCTAGAACTTCAGAACTATTTAGCAGACAATTTCTTATTTTCTGTTCTGCATAACTATTAGGCTACTTTTTCCCCGCGAATTAACAATTTGGTCATTATTGAATAAGTTTTACGCACTTAATAATGCGGGGATCTATCTATCTATCTATCTATCTATCTATCTATCTATCTATCTATCTATCTATCTATCTATCTATCTATCTATCTATCTATCTATCTATCTATCTATCTATCTATCTATCTAGAAAATGCGGTACATATTTTTTTCGGTCACCCTTTTTTAGTTTAAAACAATTATATTCTCACTATAATACAGTTCTATACATACATAATAGGCATACATACATGCACGCACACACACGCACACACACACACACACACACATATATATATATATATATATATATATATATATATATATATATATATATATATATATATATATACCTAAATTTATTGTGCTGCTTATAAATACAAATTATAAGTTTTAAACTGTAAACTAAAAAAAAGTATCGAAAAGAAATTCAAACCATTAAAGTTTAATTTATGTGAAAATTTTCGACATCTGCCGTAGTTAGGGGTGAAACACTTTTTTTTGCGTGAAAAGGACCATTGGAGTGTTGAAGAATATTATGTAAAATTAGTCTTGGCTGCGGAGTCTATTTCAGCGAAAAATGTAAAACGTAAGGTGGTCACAATCGCTTATGAAATGTTTTTGAATGTATGCTGAAGTCAACGCGTGGATAATAACCCTTTCACGCTTTCAAATGGGAAATTTCAGGAAGTGTGCACTTGTGTAGACATGGATCCAGATAAATGTTACATTTTTTTAAACCTCAACATGAATCATTTCTTATCAAGCTATCTCCAAATGAGGGTTTTCAACGATTTAAGAAGACAGATTAACATTTAAAGGAAGCAATTTGGTATTTTATTGCCAAAGGAAGATATAGATTAGATGTAGGCCACCAACCATCTAAAAAAAGTGCCCTTTTAATGTGTTATGGACCAAATCGCATATCATCACTACACTTACCACCAGATGGCGACAGAGACTGATAAAAGGAGCACTAAAGCCGCATACCTTAGACCGTTTTAAGAGCAGTCTGGTTAATTTAATGCGCTAAATGTCGATATCAATTACCGTCGGTATCGATAACATGAAAATCAGAACCCAATTGTAGGTGCTAGGTTAATACCAATATAAATACAATTAAATCTTAATTTCAAGGTTAAAATTGAGGGATTATTGGTGAGCGCTGTTAGAATTAATACATGATCCGCAGAGAGGCGCAGTTGTTCCACAAACAAAATTATAAACTCACTTCAAGAAAAACACAGAATACAGATTATTATGTTATACAGATTATTATAGCCGACATGTTATTATGTTATTATTATTAGTGTCCTCAGTGTTTAAATGTTGTCATCATATGTTGCTTTCTCTAGACATTCTACCAGTAAATCGTATAATCGTAATAATTCGATTATATTATTATTTTTATTATTACGTAATAATACTACTAATAATAATAATACAACGACCAACAACAATGTAAAACAACACACACACACACACACACACACACACACACACACACACACACACACATATAAGTATAAATATGTAAATAAATGTAAGTAAATAAATAGTTTCCTTTGTCTTTGCCTTGGTGACAGCACATCATATTTTCCTTTTTTTCTGTAAGATACTAATGTTCAGCTTAAAGTGCTATTTAAAGTCAAATAGGTTAATAGGTTTACTAGGGAAGATAGGTTAATTAGGCAAATCATTGGATAACAGTGTTTGTTTTTTATCAAATGATTTAAAAAACATTCCAAAAGTGTCACTGTGTAATATATTTAACATTAGACTTTATTTATTGTTTCTTGAATTTTATTTGCATTTTATTTAATAGGTCTTGTATACTGAAAAAAGTTCCAGGTCACTGTCAGTTTTAAAACTCCAGTACTTTGTGAACCCAGCATTTTGGTTTGCAAATATATATATATATATATATATATATATATATATATATATATATATATATATATATATACACACACATTTTTTTCACATAATTTATATAAGTTAAATAACTAAAATCATGTACAATAAAAAAAATTGTGCTTTATTAATGCATGACCGCTAAAACAAAATTACTTTAATGGCAAAACTTGACAGTAGAAAAATACAACCTTGTTTGTTTCATTTCAGCATAAAGGTGTATTATCAGGTGTGAACTTAAATAAAGCAAAAAACCTGTAACCTTTTAACCTAGACAACTTTATGATGCTTAACAAGTTAATGTCAAGTTTACCAATAAATACACAAATCCTTCATTCCACATTCTTGAATGTCACAAAAGTTAGCAGATTCAGGAAATGACCTTCGTCTGGGGAAAAAATAAGCACATAAAAACACTGTCACCATCACAATAAATGTTACTGTTTGTATTTGACATTTTTCTACAGCATTTGTTTAAAAATGACAATCCAAGCATAGATACTCCTCCACATATAACTAGATTTTTATTTATTTATTTATTTTTATTATTATTATTATTTTTTTTTAAGTTATACAACTTTGTGTGTCATTGTGGTTATGTTTGTGCATGAGATTATGTAGCTTGCTCAATTATTACAATTTCTGAACCTGACTCAGATCCGCATCCTGTGATAATGTGAAAGAGAACAGGACAAACAAGATGTCCTGGATAATGTCATACAAGTTAGAACTGCAATGTTTTGGGAATCCAGAGTGCTGATGTTTAATTTTAGCTAAAGTGTTCAATTAGTTTCCGTTCTTGTACTAAACAAGGCTGTTGCATAACACTCATTAAAAACCAATCAAAATAATTATATACTATTAGTAACTACATACAGTTGAAGTCAGAAATATTAGCCCCCCTTTGACTTTTTTTTCTTCTGGAAAAAGTCTTATTTGTTTTGTTTTGGCTACAAAAAAAGCAGTTTTTCATTTTTTTTAAACACCATTTTAGGAAAAAAAATTATAAGCCCCTATAAGCTTTTTTTTTTTTTTCGATAGACTACAGAACAAACCATCATTGTACAATAACTTACCTAATTACCCTAACTTGCCTAATTAACCTAATTAAGCTTTTAAATGTCACTTA